TAAACTTCTATATTTGTTATTTGATTTGATACTTATAGATATATTATTTTTATACTTATTACTTACCTATTTTTTCTACAATTTAAATGTGATATTTACCCAAATGGGTAAGATAATTTCAAGTAACAAGTATATCTATACCTAATGTTCACGTCCATAATTGAGAAACCAAAAAATACATTAAAAAAATATAAAGACCAAAACTATATAAAACTCTAAAGTTCAGGGATCAAATTAGCATTTAACCTTTCAAAAAGAGTGGTAGCAAGTTGTGGGGTACAGTACGAATGCCTGGTAACAATCAAGTGGAGCCGGGCCTACAATAGCCAGCAAGATGCGCTGAGATAACCTCATCATACACATGATCACATGATCACACGATCATCCATGTGCAGTTGCCTCCTCTCGTCAGATCGGATACTCACACAATTGTTCTTGTCACAATCATCAAGCTGTTCGTGTGGCTTTGCACAATGATCCCACAATTTACCATAAATTGGGAGATTGTCTGAGATCGTGTTGAAATTACCAATTAGACCCTCTATGCCTCCTAGGAAGTTCTCCAAGGTACCCCACAAACGTGGGAGAAGGGGGGGTATTCCTAATCAATCGTGGAGTTTGGATATCCATACATATTAACCTATTTAGTGCGGGAATTAATGTAAGAGTTTTATATTTTGTAACTTAAATTGTATTAAATTATAAAATAAGAACTATTAAAGAAAAAATAGTTTTTAATGTTATGAAATTTACTTATATTTAGTAATAGATATTATGCCGTTCGAATTATACAATTTTTTTTTTAATTTAATAAAGCCAAAATTCACTTACATGTATATAAATTGAATATTAATTATTAGTTTTCAAATTCAATTGTGGAAATGAAGTGAATGTACATGTTATTTAAATACGGACATTCAGATATATAACTATGTACTCCATTTTACCTTTAGAATAGTTTCTTTTAAAACAGAAATAATTCAGCCCTCTCATTTAAAATATTTGTACAGGAAAGGGGACCATTTAGGTATATGCTGTTACGGCCAAAAAAAAAAAGTATAACTATTTGGAAAACAATTTGTGCACATTTCGTTTAACATATTTTTTTATACTTGTCTCAATATGTAATGTAAGTATAGTCCATTTTTGCATTTGTATACATGACTACATTTCTATATTTGTTTATTTTTAATTTCAAATAAAAATAACAATTTTTTTAATAAATATATTGTGCCATATGTTAAAAACAAAATATGTACTACTTAGTGTCCGTGCTGTTTAGGTATGAAACTGAAGTTACCGTTGATATGGTGCACATGGGTTTCTACTTTGATGAATGAGGCAGTTTGCCTTTGTTTTATGAGGAGACCTGCCTCCATGATAATTTCAGTAGATATTTTGCAAAGTGTTTTAAGTTGGTTTCTGGAGTTGTTTTTCAAGTAGGGTAGCTGTGTATACCATGTGATTGGGCAGATTGGAGATTCAAGTCTAGGGGAAATGGTGACCTCAAGATGTCTCAACTCCAAACTGCCGAATGTTCAAAGTGAACACTACTTAATCAATTAATTATGTAAGTTTGAGTCCTACTATAAATAACTTAAAAAAAAAAAAAAAAAAAAGGCAGCTGTTTAGACTCCCAAATTAAACCATTGTCTTTGCCACAAGCTAAAGACATCCCAACAAGTAACATAGGCCCTAGTTTCTGATCATGGAAAGACTCTTAGTTCTTAGGAGGTATAATTAATAAATAATGTATTTTTTAGCACTTGTTGAATTTTTTTTTACAGTTTAAGTATTGAATTTACCGAAACACCCTTAATAAAATTCTCTTTATACTTATTTATTAATGGTGTTTTGATAATTTCAATACCTAAACTACACATCAAAAAAGTACAATTTGTGTACTGAAAAACACTTATCTCTAATTAATAATAAGATGATGGTATAGGATATGTTGTCCTTCTAAAATTTTTTTGGGAGAATTTGCCTAAAAATTTATCTTCTAATTAATATTTTCAAAACCGATTGTTGGATTAAAAATTTTACTTGTGTAGATCGCACGTCAATTTTTATATTAATCTAATACTTATAATTCTTTGATTAAAGAAATTCTATTTATAAGTATATATTTAATGGTGTTAAATCTTTCACAATCAATAAAGTTGTTAAACCTATTAGAATAATTAAAAAATTGGTATGCATGATTTATATGAATAAAATTTTTAATTTAACGGTTAGTTTTTAAAAATATTAATTAAAAAAATGAGTTTTTAAACATATCCTTCAAAAAAATTTAAGAGAACAATATGCAAAACGCCTTTCCCTAATAATAAACACTTTTTATGGTTTATTATGTCATCTTTCTTCCGAGTTTTAATTTATTTTCTCTCGATCCCTTTTGTTTTCTAACAAATTTCATTAATTTTTATAAACATATGATATTCATGTATATGTGGATGAGAATGGAACTAAATTTCATGAACATCTTGTCTTGATATATTCTATATATTACTCATTCCAAAACGGAAAAAGAAATTGACCATTTGTTGTATAAGCTTTCTCCTATTTGTTTACACCATATTGGGGAAATTATATACAGAAGAATGTACTGGCATATTTGCCCTTAACCAAAGAAGAGGTGGAAACATGATGTAGCTAGAAATGGTGTTAGTCTCCACATGATGGAATAAAACCTTGAATATGGAGAAAATTTAACTAGTGATGATTGGCCGGCTTCTTTCTGTACATCCAAGTGATTCCCACTTAGAGAGACAAGCTCAGGTGATCCCA